CCCCGCCCCACGCTGCGCGGTGCAGCTCCCCCGGCCGGCCGGCCCCGCGCCCCCTCCTCCTCACTGGAAAGGGCCCTGCACCTCCCGAAACGCCGGGGAAAGGGCGCAGCCCTTCCAAGCCCTGTCGCGAAGCAGCACCCTCTCAGGCTGATTAATACAGGTTGGACCGACCCGGACTGGACAGGGGGCACTGAGCACAGAAATACACAGGACTTTGCCAGCTGTGCTGAGCACTGGTGGCAACACCAGGTCTCCTCATGCCTGCCCAGCACCCCGCGCCCAGGAGGACCATCCTCTGCCAGGTCCTACAGGCCCTTATCATGCTCCCCCGAACAGCACTGGGGGTAGCTCTCTTGGCTGCAGCCTTCTTATCCTCAGTGTGAGGAGAGGAGTTCCCAGCTTTTACTGCTGAACTCAGCTATGAATTGGCTAAGAAGAGCTGGAGCACAGAAAAAGCTCCTTACGCCAGAACAACTTACATACTTTTACAAAAAAAACCCCAAACATTTACCAAACTATCAATGCCCAGGGGAAGCTATGGGAAGAAGACAAAAGTGCTTTCTCACACTGTCCTTTGTGATGGGAGGTCTGAGGCGTTTTTATGTATCTCTTTCTCTTCAGGTGCTTGTTCTAAGACAGCTACTCCAGAGTGTCTAAGCATGAAGATAATCCCAGACTCCAGACTCATCCTATACCAAAGGGAGTCTAACTCAACTTTTGTCCCTGGTTCCTTTCCGAAAAAGAAATTCCGTTATACCTGAGTAGGCAAGAGTGCGGTGTCCCTGACATTCATACTCAAAATCACCTTCACTGTTCAGCTTACATGTGACTCCTTGACAGAAAAGACTGTCACCTAAATCAGATCACCCCTGCCCTGTACTACCTGCTAATCTCTCCAGAGCTGTCTAGCTATTTATGTTAAGCAGACCTGATTTTTCCTGCTGACAGCACAGATCTTCATCAGCGCATGACACAACCTATCTATCAATATTTATACATGGCTTTCCATCGCCGCTGTGTCTAAATGTCTTCAACACAATGCAAAACACATCTCTCAGGACGGCCAGGAGAAGTGAGCATGAACTCAGTGCTCAGTTGGCAGAAGTTTGCAGTTCAGTTCTGGCCTCAGTCAGCAAATACTATACAAAAAGAAGCAACAAAGCCAAAGCTGACATGCTGTACCATCCCCTAGAAGCACTTGTGGCATTCAGGTCATCGCTGGTCAGACGCTCCTGCCTGGAGAGAAGCACCACAGAGCTCTGTGGGTAAGCAGGAGCCAGACATGCTTGTCCACCTGGGACTGCAGGAGCTGGATGGCATCTATTGTTGGTTAGTGCTCTGTGGCTGCCCAGCCCGGCCAACATCAGCAGCCCAGATACCCCTATTGGGCCTATTAAGTCCATACCCAGGCCAGACCTTCTGCTGCCAGCATGCACCTCATATGTAGATGGAGAAGCCTTGAGCTGAAACCTTGGCCGGTGACTGCGCTAAGGCCTGAGCTAGAAGCAGCACTTCCCCTTTCCTGAGGCCAGCTTTGGGCAGATGCAGTTGGGAAACTAGTCAGTGTCACATCCTTCCACAGAGTTCAGCTGGAGGATCAGCCACAGCATACTCACCCCTACAAGACTTAAGCGCAGCGGGAATTACCTAAGTTACAAACCCAAACGACAGCTCCCAGGGTCATGACAGCAAACTGACCCCCTTTTCTCTGAACTAAAGGCTCTTGCTCATGGTCTCACACATTGTCTGCTTCTGAATACTTAAACCTTTTCTGGCAGAATTTCCAATTGTTTCCCACTGTGACTTTGTGCAGGTAGTTATTCCTACCTACTAAGGAATAATCATCCTCAATGAAATACAAGCTATTTCAAACCAGGAAAATATAAACAAAAACACCTTTCAATTGGTTTTGCTATACAGGACTTTTCAGAGGAAAAACTCCCTCGATACCAGCCCTAATACAGACATTCCTCAGTTCCGAGCAAGACCCTGCCACCCAGAAGCACAACAGCCTACACCCAAGGTTAAATGCGGCAGCAGAAGAGAAAAATCCACATAAAAATGCCAGGGATAGGTTTTCCACACTCCACATTTCACACACTCCTGGGTGCCAAGGGAAGATGGTCCCCCTGTGCACTGCAGTGATGGATTGCATACTAGAGGAACTGCCCATGCTCACAAGTGTAGATACCCTCCAGCACCATACAACGCAAAAGGTGATGAGTCAATTTTCAGCAGCAATTGGCTCAGTTGCTGAAACTGGCTGAGGTCTGACTGTTGCTTTCTGAGAACCATCCGTTCATCACATCCTCTCCGACTGATATGACATGTCTTCCGCTTCAGTGGCTTGGGGGAGTCAACACAGCAGTGAAGCAGGCTTCCTAGCAACCATAGCACTTGCACCATCTTTTTTCCTGCACTCTGAGGAGAGCAGATCCGGTGCAGGCTGGAGGCTGGGAAATCACAGCTCACCATCGGTGCCCTCCGTGTGACCTCTTTCGCCATCCTCCTACTTTGCCTTGAGAGCTAATCACTCAATAAGCCCAAGCCCTCTCTGCCTTAGAGGGAGCAGAGAACAGGGGATATATTTCAGCCCAACTCCTACAGCAGACCCAAAATAAGCTGGAAAAGCTGCTGCCACTCTGTGCATTCTCTTCCAGAGGCACAGATTAGGGTGGATGGACCGCTGGGTAATCCCCTCTGTCTAAAAGTACATGCCAGAAGCAACCCTTCCTTGACAAAGTGGTAGACCCTTCTCCTTCTCCCAACACAGACAGAGAAACGGATGCACCGTGCTAGCAGTGAGACAATACCCAACCCCAGAGGTGTCCAGGGATTTAGCCATGGAAGGACACAAAGAGCAGACAGTGAGATTTTCAGGTCTGCCTAATCTGAACACTTGCCTCACTCATTTCGGCATATATCCAAGCCTCTCTAATAACTACTTCCAAAAATCTCATTGAAACTAGTTCTGATGCAAAGTGCCCACTCCCTTCATCCTGCACAGCCTGTGACGATGTTGTCATTGAAGGCCCCAGAGGGGGAGCTCTGTACTGAGGCTGTTCTGAGAAGAATCAGATCTGGCAAAGATTCAGCTTCCAGGACAGTACACAGGGGCTCCTTTGGCTCACATTGCTGCTGACACGCGAGATGCAGCCATAGGGCAGACAGTAAGCTGTCTGGACAATTGTTCAGTAAAACTAAATGGGGCCAAGGAGAAAGTCTGCCAGACATGCCGCATAGGCATTCTCCAAGCAGCTCTTCTATAGCGCATTTCTGCAGCAGCAGATTAACAATGACTTTGGCTGGGAGATACAGTCACCTTTGTGAAGCTGCCTGGGAGGGGGAGGCTATAGGTATGGGCAGAGCATGGTCTACCAGCCTTTCTTGGGGGCTGTGCAGAGGTATGTGCTACTGATTCCCAAGGATTAAACTCAGCTTCCTCTTAACGTCTATACTTAAAAGAATCTTCTTTACCTAAATGGATTCATTAGGAACACTATAAACCACACCACACGCAAAGCCACTCACACTACATGACACACTGCGTCACCCCCTGCCTCCCCCCACCTGGCAGAGAAAGGGGAGCATGTCAGAGGAGCACCAGGCTGTTCCTCATGCAGAGTATGATATAGGGAAGACCCTGCCCTGAAGGAAGATGAACCACGGTCTGCCCATGCACCTGACAGGCACTGGGCTGAGGCAGCAAGGGGCACCCTGAGAGGCGTGCACAGGTCAGCAGGGCAGAAGGAGCTTTTTCTCTGTGTGACTAACGTAAAGGAATCGCTTGTCCCTCTTGCCATCCAGTCCAGTATCCTGATATTAGCAAGAACCACTCACAGCCACTTCAAAGGAAAGTCTTAGAAACCTTAGGAATCATCTTCAATGCAGCCTTTTTTTTAAACCAGCTCCAGCAGAAGGGGGCTTCACAGTTTGCTACCCTCACAAATGCAATCAGAGGCTGTAATGCAACACCATGCTCTGAGATAGGATGGTTTTCAGAACATGCAGAGCAGAAAGTGGCTTTCTTCTGTGCTCATGTTTATGGTTGTTTCAGTTTAGTGAAACTGGCTGCCGCTGTTTTAAAAAAAAAAAAAGTATCCAGACAGCTACCCACTGAGGCTTTCCAGAATATTCCCTCTGACTTGTCACTGCATCTGTCCTATTGGCTCAAGTCTCTCTGCACATGTAGCTGAATGCTCTGCTGCAGAACTCAAATACAGCCCTGGCCTCATGGTAAGGGACATGAATAATGCACAAAGCACAGAGAGGGAAGCAAATCTGTTCCTCTCATACTGCAGCAAGAGACTGCTCTGGGAAAGCTCTGTCAACCTCGTGCTCCAATACCTCTCTAAACAGCACAAAGGCACCCACAAGCTGACAACATTCCTCAGAACTCTCCCAGACAGTGCCCAGGTGCTGATTCATGCATACCACCCTGCATCAAGGGCCCTACTTGCTCTGGAGTTCAACCAGAGAGTCAGCCTTGAGCTTGAAGATTAGCTGTAATGGTGGCACAATCTTCCTGAAGCCAGTCAGTCTGAAGAAGCAGGTAAGAGGCCAGAAAAGCAGGAAGGCCTCTGACCCCCCCCCCCCCAGCTGGACTTGACAAACATGCAAAATTTCAAGAGGTGAAACAACACTTAAACCCTCAGTGCAACAGGATCTGCTCTGGTGTGGGCTTTATCCAAATCTGCGCATGTAGGAGAACAGCCGCTTGAGACATGAATTTCAGATGGGGTCATATGAAGACCCCATGGCTCTGGCACAAACACCCTGAGCCTGAACTAGGTGCTCTTGTTAAGAGGAGGTTTAGGCTGAGCCTGCAAATGCTGTCTGACATTTTCAAAGCTTTGATTGTGACTGCAACATTCACAACCTGATCAGAGAAAAGAGCTGCCTGTGGCTTCCAGAAGCACTCGCTCCTCAGCCCAGGGCAAGAAATACTACTTTCAGCACAAGGTTCAGGAAGCAACCCCAGAGCCAGGCCTACTCTGCAGACAGATCTAAAATACTTGTAACAGTTAACGATGGATGTTTTACCAGGACAGTTCTATTAGTGCCAAAATGCCAGGACAAAGCAGCATAAATCCTCTCCAGCCATATTAGAAGGTGTTGCACTGACACAACTGTATTCACACTGAGACACAGGCTGCTCAGCTTAACTGGACAGGCAGAATACAGTTCGTGCAGCCTGCAAGTCCTTCCTACCCCAAAGGCAGAAGCTTTCCCCCAGGGAGGACAAGTTTGCTGTTTGGCCTGCATAACAATCCTTCAAGGGAAACACCAAAGGCAAGGAGAAATCCTGAATTCCAAAGCTCATGGTTACCTCCCAACTGATATTGTCAGAAGCACGAAAGGAACATGCTTGGTAAGCTCTCCACCCCCTCCCTTCGCGCTGCAGGTAATAAGGTAGTGCTAAGCAACCCACAGATGGCCCTGTGGCTCTCCTCTGCTTGCCCATGGCATTTTCTTTGCTCTACCTGAGCTGCAGTTTCCATCCTTAACTTGCTCCCAATCCTTCCTGCTCTTTGTGTGAGAATCAAGATTTGCTCTGCAAGCAAATACCTTCACATATGGTGTTTTTTTGCTCAATGCATCGTGTGGAAAAGGTGGTGCTGAAGTACACGCCAATTCACCTCAGAGCAATTGGGCACTTGCACAACATCCAAAATCGCACAGCCCCTGTGACAAGATCAAAGCTGAGGGGGGAAGGTGGAGTTTACATAGCACACCCTTCTGTCACAGTTCCCACCTGATAGCCTGATTTAAAGGACAGCGCTAAACTGGGGCAGAAATGAACGCACACAACTGTAGGCCAAAACAGAGAACACTCTGCTGTTTATAAGGGCTGTATTTGCCTCTGTGGAGAGATGTGCTCTGTCCACATCTGCTGGCAAACCAGCCTGAGAGCTGGAGAGACAGTATCTGCATTTGTCTTCCCCCGGGACTCCAAGGGAGTGCTGTGACACAGGCTGCCCACGCAAAAAAATAAAGGAGTTTGGCTGTATTCCAGGCATGTCATAAACCATCAAGAGTCTGATTAAGCATAGGGGTAAAGAGCCCCTCTGCATTAACAGAGGAAAAGATGCTCTGCAGGTTTATTTGCATGCTTTCTAGGATACACCTGTGAACACTCCCCGCTGCCTTGTCCAGCACCAACCCCCACAGCCACATCACTTAGGGGCCGCTGCCCCAAG